AAGATCAACTTACAGGTGAATGTACAAGAAGAGATTTTCATATCAGATTTTCTGTGTAAACCATTAAGTTCTTGGAAACAATTTAATACAAAGAATGGTATACATGCCAACCATGAAATTTCCTCACAGCCTAGTTTTCAAAGGGTTTTGAGTTTTGAGAAAGGATGCACAGACCACAAGTGAATCTTCTAAACTGTATTTGGAACTGATAAAACTGACAAAATCTTCCAAGAGACAAGACCCTGAGCACAGACCCTGTCTCTACCATGAAAGTTTTACATAAACTGTACAGAACAAAATCAATGACAAATCATCTTTGGCAATGAAACAGGTCAATCCTTAGCTGTTCATGCAATATCCAAACTGCACATCACATGACATTTGATTCCTGGTTAACAGTTGAATTTTACATTTAAATTTTCTTTAAAAGTTGGAAGTCCTAGCTAAGTTTTTCTGGTATCAATATGCTAATCATATCACAATACTTAATGACCGAGGTAGAGACTTCTGTAGGAGATTTGCTAAAGAAAACATAATTGAGAGAACAGTTAATTTTTTTTTCAATCTTGGGAAGCACATAGCCCACTGTCTTTGTCTGGTTCAACAAGCCAACCTAAAAGGCAGAACTTACTTTTTATCTCTGTATTGATTTTGCACTGCAGTGGAACTCCTGGATTTTAGAATACTGAGGATTTATTTCTTCTTTAATATGGAATATGCATGAACAAAAGCCACTTAATTTGTTATTATAAACAACAAAGCAATAAGATTACATTAGGGACAACAGCAAATGAAAATCTTAAAGTCTCCATGATGTGAGGCTAGAATGAGTGATAAGTATGTAATTCAACCTAATGATTCTAACATTTGATGGTAACTGAATTATTACAGATTTATGACATGTAGGACATGTAGGTAGGCTGACATTTTATCTCCCAACTGCACTGTATAGGTAAAGGGGATTTATCACTATAGGGTGGTAAGATTCTTCAAGATATTACATGATTTTATACATAAAATTAATCTAATACCTGGAACCTTCCAATCAAAATGACCAGCAGCTGTGTATCTTTGACTTCAGGTATCTTCTTCACAGCTGGGAAAGATCTTTGATTTATAAATAAAAAAAGGTATTCATTAAAGTCAGTTCAAGTATAATATACTTGCCTTTTACCAAATGCTGGCTGGCCAAAAATTTATCATCACCCAGAGGTGTTATTTTTAGAAGTGAATGCCTCTTACATGAGACAGAAAGCATACAGCATGGACATCTAAATGCCGAACGGGTAAATCATAAGTATGACTAAGAAGAATAATATTTAAAAGTCCATTCTTGGTATAAACTGCTTGGATCAAGTGTTGTAAACCATCACTGAGGCCCACAATAAAGGGCACTCCAGTATGCCTTATCACCATTACACAGTTCACTATTGTTCTGAAGCTCCAAGCTCAGTCAAATGACCAATAATAAGAGGGTTTTTTCTTTTTTTGTGGTACTAGGGATCAAACCCAGGACCTCATGCATGCTAGGCAAGTGTTCTACCCTCCTGAGCTACACCCAAGTCCTGATAGTTGATTTTTTGAACACTTTTTACCAGAGGTTACTACTGGCTAACACTCAGAGGCAAGTGACTACTGAACTTGGAAAAGTGATCTCCCTGATTTCAAACTGTGAAGAATTGACAGTTAAGTTTACTAATACTGATTTTTTCCCCCTTTAAAGATATAGGTGGCCCTCTAAAAGACACAGATATGCAAAAGACCTGAACTGTGAGTGCCATTTTATTTTATTTTTTTTTTGGTGGTGCTGGGGATTGAACCCAGGGCCTTGTGCATGCAAGGCAAGCACTCTACCAACTGAGCTATATCCCCAGCCCCCAAAATACACCTTTTGTGAGTGCCATTTTAGAATGGCAAAGTTCATTGTTATCAAGAGCAAATGACTCTATAAATATTGGTTAAGGAAAATTACCAGAAAAACTGACTTCAACTGAAATAATACGCTTGTGGTTTTAATGAACAAATATGGAAACAAGCAAAACGAAGTCATAAGCAAAGACAAAGCCACAAAGTGAACATTAATATTTCTTCAGGGGAAAATGTTATCTAATTCTCCCTTCAAATGTGAACTAAGCAAAAGATGCCTGTTCCTTTTGCAAATCTCTTCTGAATAAAAGATTTTAACAAAATGTCAGGTGTGGACACATAACATCTTAATAAATGCACCAGTACATTAAGGAATATAAACATGTTATTGCTCCTATCCCGATTCTAACAATGTGAAGGACTGAGTACTTAACTTCCATTTAGAGGAGAAATATCACGACATAGCAAGTCCTATCCAGCAATTTAAAATAATATGATTATTTATTTATTTTTATGTGGTGCCGAGGATTGAACCCAGTGCCTCACACATGCCAAACGAGTGCACTACCACTAAGCCATAACCCCAGCCCACAATATGATTTTGATAGAAAAAACAAAACTATTGGCAGACTTTTGATACAAATACTTGTACTTTCCAGAACAATATTTTCACAGATTCAATGTAGAATCAATGTGTTAATAAATTAGACAAAGAGGAGTTACTCTCTTTATGTAGGTTTATACCATGTTATGAGTGGAAAACAGTTATGGCAAACTCTTATATTCAAAAGCTGAATAAAAGAAATGTGTTAAGGAGGCAGCAAGTAGGGAAATTCCTGTCATAATGAAAACTTTAGCAGCTCAGGTAGCTGAGGCAAGAGGATTTTGAGTTCAAAGCCACCCTCAGCAATTTAGTGAGTGAGTCTCCAAGCAACTCAGCAAGACCCTGTCTCTAAACAAAATATTAAAAAGGGCTGGGGTTGTGGCTCAGTGTTTAAGCGCCCCTGGGTTCAATCCCCAGTACTGGAAAAAAAAAAAAAAAAACTTTAGCAAGAGAATAAATATAGATTTTAAAGTGTGTACATGTGAGGTGACATCTTTCTATATACTTTAAAAAGTTGAAGAATTAGCCAGACACAAAAGCTAACATTCTCAGCAGCATAAGCCAAGATGAAACACCAGGGCTGCTGTAGAACTAAGTGGATACTCCTGGCACCAAATGCCTTTGCCTGGTTCTTCCTGGCGTTTCTGCTCGACTCCTTCCCTCTCCACCACTCAAATTCCCAACCTTTCTGCTGGCAAAGCCACTCTCTTTTCCTCCGGGCTCTGAACAAATGGCATTGAGTGGATGTGAATTTTCTGTCCTTCAATTAAGAAATCTGCTGGAAGCTCCAGCAACATAAGAATCGGTAGTTTTGTATCTCAATGAGGTTTAACTAGTAAAAATCCTGCCTTTTTTTCTAGCAATTATATGAATTTCCTTATTAACCATTTGGTTTGAGGAAAACTGCCAATGCCCATTGATTATTCATGATATACATGTATGTCATTTTCTAAAATTTCCCCCTCAGTCTCACCTGAGCTTATTTTCTGCTTAAAATTTTGAGAGATCCTGAGGAGTTTTTCCAAGCTAAAATTTAAAGATTAGAAAATATATATTCACAAATATAAGTCAATGAATGGCTAGAAGATAAGGTTAAATTTTCTGAGTTTTTTTGGGTATGCGTGGGGGCGGGAGGAAGGGGAATGCAAATGGAGAAACAACAAAGAAAAAACAAATGCACAAAAGGTGCTATTCTCATATTCTTCTAAATAGCCTGGAAATGGCATTTAAAAATGAAGACACAAAGCGTAACACCTTTGGAATTTCAAAGTCAGAAGTGGCTTGCAGCAGTTTTGTTAGAAAAGAGGAAGACACCCAAGTGAAATGCTCCCTGGTAAAGCAAAGACCCCCTGACACCTTTACCAAGTTTCACCACTAAGACAAACCACAAAAATGGGATAGGAGAACACAGCTCTCCAACAAAATGTAAAGATGGTACTGGGAGTGGTGGTATACATCTGTAATCCCAGCTATTAGGGAGGCAGAGGCAAGTTCAAGACCAGCCTGGGCAACTCAGGGAGATCCCATTAAAAAAAAAAAAAAGGAAAAAAACAAGGCTGGGGATGTAGCTCTTACCTAGCATGTGTGAGCACTGGGTTCAATAAACAGGTTGGGAAAAAAAAAAAAAAAGATGGCAATAAATACTGTTTATAAAACACTAGTTTCATAAACAATAATGCTTGTCATTAACAAATAACATAAACCAACAGGGAATAAATACTGAACACCTCTTTTGGTTTATTTACAGACAAATCCCAAGTGAGAATGGCCACTTAGGCAGACACCTACATTGGCAGAAGTAAGTCAATCATAAATTCCATTATAAAAAGAAATTTAAAAATCTGGATTTAAGCCTTCTCCCATTTGCAGTATAGGAAGTTTTGAATATTCTTAGTCTATAAGGGAATTTTTATATTTCTAATGTTAACAAGTATGGAATATATTCATTATGGGCTTAAGAAACCAGAGAGATGGGCAGATTTCTGGATTGAGGCTTAAAGCCAATCAAAAGGGTTCAGAGCTAAACATCCTATTAGGCCTCATTTCCCAGGCGCGACTGAGCTCTCCGAGACAAGCTGCTTAGCACCAAAATCTAGCCAGGCGCTTCATACTGCTCCTGGGCACTTATATTGAATGTAGCTACTAGATGGGGGACACCACTGCGTATCAGTCTTTTGAAAGAACTTATGTATATAACATCAAAGCACATACTGGCAATGCTTGGAATTTGAAGAAATCCTGCAGCTAATTATTTACTTCCTTTGGAAACATGTTTTCAAAGAATGGCTACAGCTCTGGTCATAAAAGTTGAGATTCCCAGATTTCTCAGGTGGAAGAGAGAAGATCTCAATCTCTTTCTAATGTAGTCTTCCTTTCTAAGACAGAAAACTGGTATCTCCTCCTCAGTCTCCATTGAAATGTTCCCTGCAACATGAGAGGCACTTGTATTGAATGCAGCATCTTACTAAAACTCTAAACCCAGGGTAGATTTTGCTAAACAAAGTAATAACACTAGCCTAATAGGCATTACTTACAAGGATTTTTTTCCTTTAATATAAAAAAGTATAACTACAACAGTTCAATGTACAAATACAAAAAAGTTCTCATACTAAAAAAAAAAAAAAAGAAAAAAAAATGTACCATAATACTGTACATACAAAAACTGTTCAACAAGAATGATTTAAATATATCTGTTCTTCTCTGGATCTGGAAGACACAAATGTAAAGTTCTGCAACTGTATTATTGCTGAGAACATGTGCCCTGGAACACTGTGTTTCCCTTTCCCCACTCATCCCAGCCCCACCTTCAGAGTCCCCTGAGTTTGGATCATGAGCCAACAGCATCCCTGAAGATAACCAGAGCCAAATGTTTACTCAATGGAAGTCATTATTCAGTGAGCCGTTGCTTACCATAAACTATGAAAAGCCCAAGTTTTAAGCCCAGCAAAGATTAAATCCAGACGGAGGTCTTCCCATCCCCTGATTTGCTACTAGCACTGCTTTTGTTGGACCCAGCTTTGGACCCCACTTTGGCCTTTTTTTCGCGAGGACCATGGGGGTTATTTTGGTGATTATAGGCCTGGATTGCTAGATCCAAGCGTTCCTGAGCCATTCTGATCTCCCGCTGCAGAGTCTCCAGATCAGCTGGGAGGTGCTCCTCGTGGCTGCCATACTGCTGCTCCTGGGCGATGTTGGCTTTGTTTTGCTTATAGGCGATCTTAGCATTGGACAATTCGGTGTATTGGATTTGATCTGGTTTGACAGCAATGTTATAGCCAGGGGGAGCAGATGGTGTATTCCAAGTGAAAGGATAATTAAAAGCACCCGGATCTTCAAGTTCCCTCCTTTTACTGTTTAGTGAGTCTCGAATGGTCCCAAACCCTAAATGAAGCATCTCCCAAATGTTAAGCAATAGGCAGAGGCCTGTAACACCATACATTATCAGAAGGAAGATGGTCTTTTCAGTGGGTCTAGAAATAAAGCAGTCTATTTTATGAGGGCAAGGAAGTCTGCTGCACACATAAAATGGATGGACTTGGAAGCCATACAGGAAATATTGCCCTATCAGAAAACCCACCTCAAACACGGTCCTTGCCAGCAACTGTAGTACATAGATTTTCATGAGCCCATCCTCCCGAATCCGTCGTCGGCCATCATGCTTGGGTTTCGGTTGGCTCTGCTCTTTATTTTCTTTTTCACTTTCTAATTCCATTTCTGGATACATCATGGGATCCTCTTCATGGTCCTCTTCTGTTTCTTCCAGGGCCCGGTGCTGTTTCCAACGCATAGCATAGGGTTTGCTCCGAGCCGCCTTCTTGTCCACCTCACCATGCTCCATTTTGGCAATCTTATGAATGGCGTAGCCCAGGTACATCACCGAGGGAGTGGCCACTAGAATGATCTGGAACACCCAGAACCGCACATGGGAGAGTGGTGCAAAGGCATCATAGCAGACATTCTCACAGCCTGGCTGTTCTGTGTTGCACACAAATTTGCTTTGCTCATCATAATAGATGGACTCTCCTCCTACAGCTGTTAGGACAATCCGAAACACAATCAATACAGTGAGCCAGATCTTCCCTACGAATGTGGAATGGTTGTGAATCTCCTCTAGCAGGCGAGTCAGGAAGCTCCAACTCATGGTGATAAACTTGGTTTGTCCTGATAAAGTGGAAAATATCATGGGAAAAAAACCAACAAATATTAAAATATTTTTATTCCTCTTACTGGTGTGGGGGATTAAACCCAGGGTTATGCTCATGTTAAGCTCACACTCTACCACTGAGTTACACCCAAACCCCAACAACTATTAAAATATTGACAATGTAAATTTCAATCCATGATATTGCTAGATACCACTTCTGTACATACTCAAAATCTAACTACAAGGCTAATACTAGAACAAATGTTATAGTAAATAACATTATATCCAAGCAGCAGTCAAATCCATTTAAAACACCTCATTCTTACCACCCTTAGACAGGATAATTTATTCACCTCAGTCCAAAAGAACTTGTTTGGACTTTCACGTCTTCCTCGGTTTACAAAATAAAATTGTGGGGCTGGGGTATAGTTAAGTGATGGAACACTTGCCTTGCATGCAAAAAGCTCCGGGTTTGATCCACAGCACAAATAATAATAACAACAACAAACAACAATAAAAATGCAGTAAAGGGGCTAGGGTTGTGGCTCAGTGGTAGAGCACTTGCCTAGCATGTGTGAGGCACTGGGTTCGATTCTCAGCACTACATATAAATAAATGAATAAAATAAAGGTCCATCAACAACTGAGACATTTTTAAAAATACAAAAAAACCCATAAATAATAATTATTATTGTAGGTCTCATTAACTGAGATATATTTCTCAGATGTAGCACATTGGGTTTTTGACATGTATTATTATTTCATGAGACCTTCAGAACTTTCTGAGATACAGATAAGAAATAATACAAAGGAGTGAAAGGTGATGGGGGGGGGACATGCTAGGGAGTGATATTGGACAAATTATATTGTTATAGTGTGTGCATGTACAAAAATGTAACAACAAGTCCCATCATCATGTACAACTAGAACACACCAATAAAAAGTGTGGACAAAAAAAAAGAATGCAGCCAGATGCAGCAGATGCAGTGGTGGACACCTATAATTCCAGCGACTTGGGAGGCTGAGGTAGGAGGGTTGGCAAGTTTGAGGTCAGCCTGAGCAACTTAGTGAGTCAAGAAAATAAAAAGGATTGGGTGCAGTGGCACAAACCTGTAATCCTGGTGGCTTGGAAGGCTGAGGCAGAAAGATCTCGAGTTCAAAGCCAGCCTCAACAACTTAATGAGGTGCTAAGCCACTAAGTGAGATCCTGTCTCTAAATAAAATACAAATAAAAAGGGCCAGGGATGTGACTCAGCATTTAAGTGCCCCTAAATTCAATCCCTGGTACCAAAAAAATAATAATCATGATAAAAAAATAAATGAATAAATAAGGGTTGGATATCTAGCTCAGTGGTGGAGCACCCCTGGGTCCAATGCCCAGCACCACAAAAAGGAAAAAAAAATGCATACAGCTATTCCAATCCAATCACAAGGGAATATCTCTCAGAACATAAAGGAGACCTTTGGGCTGGACTTCCTAGTTAACAGGGAGCTTATTAGGAAGCTTAAATTTTGGACCAGCTGACAAGTGTTGAAAGGAATTAAGGAGATGGTACAGCTGCAAACAACTGGAAATGATCATGGACTAAAACAACAGAGAGAAAGGAACTAGAAAGACATTCCCTAGCTGGATGGAACAGCAGAGCAGATTCTAATTTTACTTAAAAGACCACAATGAATACTCTGCAACAAATTTTATAACCCCTTTATTATATCTGTATTTTTTTTATGGAAGATATAAAAACAAGTTTGCTGCTGGGCGTGGTGGCACACACCTCTAATCCCAGCCACTTGAGAGGCTGAGGCAGGAGGATCACAATTTCAAGGCCAGCCTCAATAACTGTCTCAAAATTTTAAAAGGAAGGAAATGCTGGGGATTTGGCTCAGTATCCCTGGTATAATAAACCAATTAATAAATCCATTTAAAACACATTTTAAAGGATAGTTTTATTCTAAGATTTTTTAAGTGCCTGGGATTGAACCTAGTGGGCGTTTAACCACTGAGCCAGATTCCCAGCCCTTTTTGTATTTTATTTAGAGACAGGGTCTCACTGAATTGCGAGTAGCCTTACTACTTTGCTGAGGCGGCTCTGAACTTGTGAATCTCCTGCCTCAACCTCCAGAGCCATTGGCTTGGGAGGAGTGTGAGGTTCAAAACCATCCTCAACAACTTAGTAAGGCCCTCAGCAACTCAGTGAGACTCTGTCTCAAAATAAATAATAAAGGGCAGGGGATGTGACTTAGTAGTTAAATGCCCCTGGGTTCAATCCCCAGTACCAAGGGAGGGGAGGGGGGGAAATCTAGGTTAAAAACATATAGGTGAAATATATGTAACAAGTCCCTGACAACTCCTGACACAAAGTAGATTTAACTTTTCAACTTTCTCTCCCTGCTCTTTCAGTTTACTTCTGCAGATTATAGGTGATTTGTCAGCACCACCAAAGAAGTTTAAATGCACTTTACCTGTTATGCAGAACTTCTGTTACCCAAAATCTTCTTTGAGAAATGATGTTTTGCTTGCAACTTTCCCAAATTCCCTCTGGAAGGGAAAAAGAAGAGTAGGTCGTAAACTTCCTCCCACAGAAAACAATGAATCACTAAAACACCATTTTTCAGGAAGAAACAAAGTTTTCTATGCACCACAGGAATCACTCAGAATGAGATGGAAACGGGTTTGACTTTCAATATGACTACTTTATCCCCCACAATCCATGTGGTAGGAGAAACTATGTAACAGTGACCCAAAGATTCTTAAATCACTGCAGCCTAAGAAAATCTGAGAGGAAGATGAGTCATTTGTGAAAACTCTGGCACCTATAGCAAAAAGCCAAAAAAGAATCCAAGCAAACTGAAACTGGTTCCTAAGGGCCTAGCAAAATTCTTCACCCTGCGTGCCCTATTCCCTGAAGCAGCCAAGTAGGAGCAAGTTGTTCATCTACAACACCCAACAGCTGGATCAGTCACTGGGACACTGATCTCCACAGGAGGTGATTTACAGATTCAACTGCTCACAAAGAGAAAGAAAACACCTGCGGTCTGTACAGTGATTAAAAAACAAAACGTTTATTTTGCTATACATAATGGAATCTATTTCAGCAAACATGTAGAACTCAACAACACAGAACAAATCAATTAAAACCACACACCTATACTTAAATAGAAATATTTTGCTAAAAAAACAAAAACAAAAAAACAACAACAAAAAAGGGGGGGGGGCTGGGGTTGTGGCTCAGCAGTAGAGCACTCCCCTACCAAGTGCAAGGCCCTGGGTTCGACCCTCAGCATCAGAGAAAAAATAAGTAAATAAAATAAAAGCATAAAGAAAATTAAAAAACAAAAACAAAACAAAAAATCCCCACAAAACTCCAGGATGAATTATTGCTCATTATCAAATTCTGCTAACTCTTAACAGCTATGGTCAAGTCATCCATAACTTTGTTCATTACTGTTGCTTAATTTAACAAATTAAAAACAATCCCTGAGTGTCATATATTCGTAAGAATAGAGTTGATTTTTTCTTGTTTGTTTGTATGACTTGTTTTGCCTTTTTGTTTTTTTTTTTTCTGACGAGGGATCAAACCCAAGGGCCTCACACAGGCCAGCAAGAGCTCTACCACTGAGCCACATCCCCAGCAAAAGTTATTCTTTTTTTTGAAATATAGGAAACAAATAAATCCTAGAACAATTTCCAAAACATCAATAAAAAAGAGAAAGTGAAGGCATCTATATAGAATGCATACTCAAGATTTACATACATGGACTGGGGATGTGGCTCAAGCGGTAGCGTTCGCCTAGCATGTGCGGGGCACTAGGTTCGATCCTCAGCACCACATAAAAGTAAAATAAAGATGTTGTGTCCACCAAAAACTAAAAAATAAATATTAAGAAAATTCAGCCAGGGTTCTCGCTCTTGTTGCGTATGCTCAAACAGACATGGTCTGATCCAGAAATCCTGACTCCGCATGTGCCCACAGTGTTTTGGTCAAAGGATGTAGGCTCCATTAAGTTGGACTAAGTGATCTTCCTCGAATGGATTGCCCAAGTCAGCCACCCAATGAAAGAGAACATGCTAGTTCTTTGTACATAAAATAAAGTTCTAAAAAACTTAAAAAAAAAATGCTGGATGTAGCTCGGTGGTAAAATATCCCTGAATTCAATACCCAAATAAATAAATAAATAAACAAACAAATATATAATCTGACACAAAAATGAACTTACCACATAACTCAAGTACAGCTCCCATCTCTACCCCTGATCTTCAACTGTGCCCACTTCTCCACTTACTGACTACATAAAGTTATAAAACCACAAAACAAGAAGTAAATAATGTGCAATCTTTTTCTGGGGGAGGGGGGTGCGGGGGGGGGGGTACTGGGGATTGAACTCAGGAGCACTCACCCACTGAGCCTCATCCCCAGCCCTATTTTGTATTTTATTTAGAGACAGGGTCTCACTGAGATGCTGAGTGCCTCAATTTTGCTGAAGTTGGCTTTAAACTCACAATCCTCCGGTCTCAGCCTCCCAGCCCCTGGGATTATAGGAGTGTGCTACCACGTTGGCTTAATAATATGGGGGGAAAAAAAAAAAACAAGGGAGAGATTTGAATTACAGCAGATGGGGTAGAGAGAGAAGATGGGAGGGGAGGGGAGGGGGGATAGTAGAGGATAGAAAAGGTAGCAGAATACAACAGTCACTAGTATGGCATTATGTAAAAACATGGATGTGTAACCGATGTGATTCTGCAATCTGTATACGGGGTAAAAATGGGAGTTCATAACCCACATGAATCAAATGTATGAAATACGATATGTCAAGAGCTTTGTAATGTTTTGAACAACCAATAAAAAAATAATAATATGCAATCTTTATTTTAGTTTATTGTTGGTGTCATCTTTTTTATATTTCAAGTGCAACATAGAAAAATTATTTCCTTTTACATCTCTTTACCTTCCACCATTTATAACACAATTGTCTTACTATTTCTTCTACATACATTTGGAACCATACCAAAAAATTATCATTTGTACGTCAACAATTAAACAGTTTTAAAATTTGAATAATATGGGCTAGGGTTGTAGCTCAATGGTGAAGTGCTTGCCTGGGTTTGAATAATGTGCAATCTTTAAATGTATAAACCAGGTTTATAACAGAACTCCATAATGATTCACATCCACAAACTCCCTACAAGTCCAGATCCCCAAATACCATTCATAAAGCATTTTCCCCTCAAGCCTAAAATTCAATTTAATACCAAATGAGACAAAAATTTAAAAATAGTTAAAAACTCATCTTTTATACATGCAACCACATAGACACATTAATTTGTGTATGTGTGTGTGTCTGTGTATGTTGGGGATTAAACCCAGGCCCTTATGTATGCTAGGCAAGCAGGTGCTCTGCCACTAAGCCACATCCTCAGACCAATGAGGACCTTTTTTCCAATAAATACTGCTGCCGAAAATTTTATTCAACAATTCAGCATCTCATATAATAATTCAACTTTTATTGAGAAGAATTGATGACAAATTTTTTTGAAAGTTACATAATTTTTAAAGCAGCTATTTTAACACACCCAGAGGTAAGGATTACACATTGGTTAAACTGTAAGCTTACAAAAATGTCGAACCTTTGTAGCCTGGTTTTCCATGGGCTTTCCTAAGAGGCACAGCATCAGATACACACACGCTGAAATGTCTGTGGAGTAGTTTTCCTGCAGTTCATGTTGTTGACTACAAAATGTCCCAGGGAAGTGGGTAATCTGTATATTAGGTCCTCTAATATATGGGATATAAAAGGTTAATTTCATTTTCTTTCTTTAAAATATTTTTTAGTTATACATAAAAACAATATCTTTATTTTATTGATTAATTTTCATGTGGTGCTGAGGATCGAACCCAGTGCCTCATATGTGTGAGGCAAGCGCCCTGCCACTGAGCCATGACCCCAGCCCTCATTTTCTTTTTCTTAATACTTTTTATTTGGGGGGTGGGGGTACTGGGGACTGAACTCAGGGGCACTCAGCCACTGAGCCACATCCTCAGCCCTAGTTTGTATTTTATTTAGAGACAGAGTCTCACTGAGTTGCTTAGCGCCTTGACATTGCTCAAGCTGGCTTTGAATTCACAATTCTCCAGTCTCAGCCTCCAGAGCTGCTGGGATTTACAGGCATGTGCCACCATGCCCGGCCTTAATACAATTCTTGGTGGGGGGCAATAACATTAAAGGAAACTAATATAAACCCCAATCACAGCCCTTTAAAAATGTTTTGGTTAGGGGCTGGAGTCATAGCTCAGTGGTAGAGCGCTTGCCTAGCACATATGAGGCACTGGGTTCAATCCTCAGCACCATATAAAAATAAACAAAAGTATTGTGTCCACCTACAACTAAAAAAAAAAGTGTTTTGGTTAACTAGGCATGATGAGGCACCTGTAATCACAGTGACTTTGAGGCTGAAGCAGGAGGAAGTTCAAGGCTAGCCTCATCAATTTAGTGAGGCTCTAACAACTTAGCAAGACCCTATCTCAAAATTAAAAAAATAAAAATAAAAAGGGCTGGGTGTGTGGCTCAGTGGTTAAGCACCCCTGGATTCAAGTCCCAGTTAAAAAAAAAAAAAGGTTTGTTTATTCATTATTTCCTGACTATATGAATAGTTTTTCCAAGTGTAAAATGTTACTAACTTACAAAGGAGTTTATTGGTAAAACTGGCTTATACTTACTATTTATTTTGGTTCCAGTGTACCCCCTAACCTTCACATATTGGAGGCTTTCCTTAGTGTAGCCTATTGGGAATTCTTTGGGGGCACTGCTCGCAGAAGAGAATGTTGGTCTCCCACATTCTTGGGAAGGGGAGAATTATAAAAGACTGAGCCTGCCTCCTGAATCTCTCTGGTTTCCTGTTTGGCAATGATATCTCCTGATCCCACGTGGGCTCTTGCCATTATACCTTCCACCACAAGGCTTCAGTGGAGACAGGCAGAAGCTGAACTCCAGAACTGTGAGCTAAATAAACCTGTTTTCTTTAAAAGTAGGCTGCCTCAGGTATCTTGTTACAGTAACAGAAAATTGACTAATCACTATACATATTCTTTTTGTATAAATGTGTATAATAATTTAACCCTAGCATCTCATAAAATGGAGGAAGGGTAATTTTCCTTCTGAAATAAAGAACCATGGACTTCTTTAATGAATGGTAGCATCATCACTTTGTGTGTGTGTGTGTGTGTGTGTGTGTCTGTGTGGTGGTGGTGCTGGTAGATTCTATTATTAGAACCATTATAAAGATAAGTAAGTCAGGCTGGGACTACAGCTCAGTGGCAGGGTGCTTGCCTAGAATATCTTGAGGCACTGGGTTCAATCCTCCACACCACATAAAAATGAATAAAACGAAGGTATGCTGTCCATCTACAACTACCAAAAAAATTTTTTTAAAAAGGATAAGGAATTAAGCTTCTGAAAGTTTATATAATTTGCACAGATCATTCAGTTATTTGAAGTCTGACTGTCCTGTGCTGAAATTTGAGGGATAGGGGAAGTCTTAAAAAATTATATAGAGGGCTGGGGATGTGGCTCAAGCGGTAACACGCTCACCTGGCATGCGTGCAGCCCGGGTTTGATCCTCAGCACCACATACAAAAAACAAAGATGTTGTGTCCGCCGAAAACTAAAAATAAATATTAAAAAAAATTCTCTAAAAAAGTGGCCAGGTACAATGGTGCATGCCTGTAATCCCAGTGGCTCGGGGGGCTGAGATAGAAGAATCGCAAGTTCAAAGCCAGCCTTAGCAAAAGCAAGGTGCTAAGTAACTCAGTGAGACCCTGCCTCTAAATAAAATACAAAATAGGGCTGGGGATGTGGCTCAGTTGCCAAATGCCTCTAAGTTCAATCCCCAGTACCCACCCCTGCCAAAAGTGGAGTTG